AGCTTTGCTGGCTGGGGAATTCTGGGAGTCGAAGTCCACCAGGCTTCAAGGGCCCAAGGTTGGAGACCCCTGATCTAAAGCATATATAGAATCCAGGACAAAATCATTTAAAACAAAACTAAGGGTCTCCAATTCTTATGGGCTGGTGGCCATAATTTGAATTTGTGGGTGTTTTCACCAAGTGTGTCAGAAGACTTGCTGCACCATAAAATGGATGCCACAAGAGAAATGTAAAGGACCAGTTTGCAGAATAGTGTCTACCATCCAATTAAACATCCTGCCTCTTCCAGCAGAGTGCTTCCTACCTCCTTGTATTACCTTCACACACCAGAATTATGTATAGAAGATTTTAAAAAGTCAAGAAGGCAACCATAACTACATGACAATAGCCACCATCTTGAACTTTTAGTTCTCCTATACATAAATGTTACTGGTCCCTTCCCAACAAAATGATGGAATGTAGTTGGCCATTGTTATGTTCTAAGAAAAGTTAAAGAGCCTCTTAAGCTTGGAAATAAAGATTGTGCTGGAAACTTTGCTTTGCAGTGACTTAGTTTCCCTGCTTAATTTTTATTTTTTAATGTAAGTAGACAGGAGGGGCAGAGCCTGGGGGATGGCAAGAAAAATACCCGTGAGTGCCTTGGAGCCCATTACCACCAATTTATAAAACTTAGGTGTAAACAATTTAAACAACATCTTTCATTAAAATGGGTTTAAAGATCTTTCTAAGGACAACAAAGAGAGAGCCAATGTATTGATTGGAGATGCTGCCAAAATTTGTTGGCTTTTGTGTCTGCTAATCTGACTAAATTGTAACTGGCCCAGACTAAGAAACATTATTTTATGTCATCTTTCTGTTTGTTGCTCATAGGCTGATTGGAAGCATTATTACATTTTCTGAAATATGCGATACTGTTTTATGGCACATACATGAATGTGGTATGTTTGCTTACAGAGTTCACAAGGTCAAACCATGAAACAGTTCATGGACATCTTTTCCTTGCCTGAGATGACTCTCCTGTCTTGTGTGAACGAGTATTTTCTGAAGAACAATATTGACTATGAGCCAGTTCATCTCTACAAAGATGTGAAGGTATTGACCTATCCCAGTGTGACAGTTTTCCCAGCCTGATGCCTTCTAGCTGTGTTTTACTTCATCTTCCATAATACCCATTCTCCGGGAATAGGATTCTATTTCTTGATACATACCCCACATTATTTCTTCACTGCTAAGAGCTATAATCCTTCAGGTCCAAAATAAAAAAACCGATTACTATAAAAATGTGGTAATACCATTATGTTAAAACATTATGACCCAGAAAAAAACTTACAGCTTCTTTTTTTTTGGCTATTAGTTTTAAAAATAAGAAAGATGTTAACTTCATTCAGATTTAGCTCATGTTTAGATATGTATATTTTCCTGTTGACAAATCTAGTTACTGAAAACAAGAGTTGGGTTTTTGGAAACAAAGTTTCTGGATTTTGTGGTTGTAAAAATGTCCCTGAAAATGTGTTGAGCAGTGTCTAAAAATCTAAAAAATAGAGTGATTAGGTAACTGAGTGTCAGCAGCATGTGGAGAAAGTGCAAAAGAGACAGGGCCATTAAATGATTGACAACATATACTGTAGATTGCTTTATTTGCATGAATTTGGGATTGACTGGCAGATTGGATGAAAAACTCTTGCAACAGTCTTCCCATGCTTAATCTGAGAAACTGCAAGGGGGGAAGGAGGTAAATAGACTTATAAATATTTAATATTTTACTCAGCTTCCTATGATTAGCAGAATGGAATTATTCATAGCATAATTACATAATTTATACATTAGAATTCAATTTATCTTAGAAAGTAGTTCATTTTGGCGTAAAGCTATATTAAAAATGTAAACAGGATTTAGCCAATGGTTTATGAACCTGGGTTATGTGCACACTGGCTTTTAAACTCTGAATTTATGAAAGTCATTGTGTTAACATAACTTGAGCAAATTGCTTTGATTTGAACAATTTGAGTAAATACAAAGTTTTAATATGGGCAACCTCTTATTCTGCATATTGACTAAGCTTGCCCATCATCTGGTTTGTTTAATTGCGTGAGCCCAGATATTATGGTTTCTAAAACATGATTTGTGCTTAGTGTGTGCAAAACAATTGGGGTTTTATTTGGGAAACAACTATTAATCTATAATATAATGCAAGGTTGAAACCAATCTATTTTCTAATCTTAGATAAAGTTAAGTACTAGGAAACTGGATATTACTAATCCCTGAATGATTAATTATTTTCTTGATAACTCTCAGTCTTGCTAGTCACAGTTTTGCTAATACCTTGTCTTGCCCTGCTCCCAGCAATTTACTTTATCAGCAACTGAAATAATTATAGAAATTGTTGGAGATAGAAGATCCTGATAATTAATTTTTTTGCCCATCAGATATAACTCTTATATAGAGAAATATATCATTTTTATTTCCATTTTTCCTAACAGGATTCAATCAGAGATGTACACATCAAAGGGATAATGTATCGTGCAATTGAAGCAGATATTGGTGAGCATGAGTGAATTTTTTTAAGAGAACACTTTTTCTTCTATTAATGGATTTTTTTTGCAGTTAGCTCTCTGACTGTTGAATTAACATGTATTCCATTTCCATAGGATGCTGAATATTAAATAAAAATAATGCAAATAATTTGCAGGTGCCCACACTGGAACCTGCAAATCACTTATATTATTTTTATTTAAAAATGAATTGCCAAGATTTCATAGTGCTTATATAAGATCTTGCAAGATTTTGGTATCGAAATAAATCGTGGCATTTTTAGAGTCATTGCTAATTCTTGTAAAGATTGGGGTATCTTTAAAAAAAATTAAAATAGAGTGAATCTGAAAAGATTATCCAACCTTTGCTTCCATAATTCTTCGCTCTCATATAGACTGCCATATGCTTTGGTGTGTTGATGAAGTTAAATATTTTAGCAAGTTCAGTTTCATCTTTCTCCAAAACTTTCTGGTTGGTGTTTGTTTTTAACTATATTCAGAACTGATCTCTGTAAGAGGTCCTAATAGTGAACAGATTCTGTAATCTTTTCATAATAGGCAATAACTGAAACAGATCACTTTCTGTTGTGATGCAAATTGTGGCAAACCCCAAAGTGTTATAATTCAACTTGCATGCTAAGTGCATTCCTATGAAGATGCTTAGATTATGAATTTTAAAATCTTGGCTCATGAAGTATTCTTTAAACTGTTTAGGTAATTTAAGAACATAAGAATTTTTACCTGTAAGGTAAGAAATAGCATTGTGTCAGGATCTAGAAAAGCCTGTTGTTGCAGGCTGATATATTTATGCATGTTTGATTATTAGGAATAACTCTTGTGATGCCACAAATTTACATTTTGGTAAAGCTTAAGTTTTTTATTTAAGATTTGTTCTGAAACCAATTTTCTATGCCAGGTCAAAACCTTACAGCTTTCTGAACATGTCTCTGAAATCTTATGATTGGACTATCTTTCAGCAATGATTAATTTTACACTATCAGTTCATCTACATGCTGCATCTAGGTAGTTTTCTTAAGAACTGACTTTTGTTTATAGAAAGCAGTCCGAAAAAAATGGGAAGGCAGTGCCAAATAAAATAGATCAAATTCTACATGCAGTGATGCCAGTTTCCATAAAAAGGCTATTTCCATGCATTGGTTCATATGTCTGCAATGTTTGTCATGCAGTCAGCTACCATCAAGGTCATATATTGTTGGTCCAGTGTGTGTGAACTAAGTCTCCAATGTTGTGGCAACTATTTGGAACATTCCCAAAGGTATGGGCTCTTCAGTACTACTGCTTAAGTAGCCCTAATAATAATTAAACATGTATATGAATAGGTTTTTCATTGCAGTTTTTTCATCAAAGGACCTCCCAAGATTGCTTGTTTTTAATGGTAATGCTGAATTTGGGATGACATGACTTATGCACACGCACAAAAAAGACTGCTATAAATATTCATTCAATTAAAACGGTTTATGATTTTTCCCCTTATCTTGTTCTCTTGCCTTCTAGAGAAATACATTTGTTATGCTGAGCAGACACGTGCTGTGTTGGCAAAGCTGGCAGCTCATGGAAAGAAGATGTTCCTGATCACAAATAGTCCTAGCAGCTTTGTGTAGGTGGTTTCTTCGAGCATAAACCCGTCAAAGATTTTGTCTTAGTGTTAACCATTAGTTGTCACTTTTAAAAATTCAGCCTGATTATACTTGTGTGGTTAAATGCTGGGTTACTTTTTATAGGGACAGAGGCATGAAATTCATAGTTGGAAAAGATTGGAGAGATCTCTTTGATGTAGTCATTGTCCAGGCCGAGAAGCCAAATTTTTTCAATGATAAGAGAAGGTGAGTTCCGTGCTGCTGAGTTATAAATATCTCTAAGATGGCCTTTGTTGTGATGAACTTGCTCAAGCATTGCAGTGAGCCAGGAAAACCCTTCCGAAAATGTGCTATTGCCCAACTGCAATTGCTCTTGCAGCGTCCCCAGGCTCAAAACTTGCATTTGAGCTGCTGTGCCTTTAGAAGAGTAGCTGAGATATATCTTTTGCCAACTTTTTAGAATAATTTTATTTATATTGTTATCCTCCTGATTGTATTGCTTGAATCAATATATAGATATCTTTGTGTGTGTGTGTGTTTTCATGGAAACCATCTTGATCGTTCTCTCTGACGTGAAAAGCAACATGTAATAAAGAAGTCCCCTCTGCAATATATTTATGGATACTCTGTGCGTTTGTGCGTGCGCAGTAGCTGTGATTATATTATTCTAGTGGTATCTCTTTCCAAATCACTGATATTTTTCCTCCTGCCCTTTTTTTAGACCTTTCCGCAAAGTGACTGAAAGGGGTGTTTTGCTTTGGGACAAAATTCATGAATTGCAGAAAGGCCAGATTTACAAGCAGGTATTGTTGTATTGTTGTATTTTTCTTTTTCTTTGAAACCAGCTAACAATCATGCTGAAGTAAAACAGACTATCCAGACAATTGAAACAAGGGTTATTTCATATTTGCATGTACTTTATATTATATATATTCAATCTTATTTCTGCCGTATTGTTACAATGATTATGTTGACTAGATTTTTATTTGTAAAAATAATAAAGATGGGATAAAAATAAATAAATATGCATTGTGAAACATAAAGATAAAAGAGATAGCAATAAATGAAACTAATGTCATTCCCCGTCATTCTGGATTTCCCTTGCTATTTCTAAAGGAAATCAATTTTTTATTCATTTTAAATTGTAACAATATGACTAGTGGAAAAAAGGGCTGTAGTTCAGCAAGTAAAGAACTCCATTACTTTAAAAAGGATTCTAGTTCAGACCTCAGATTGGAGAAGTCTTCTGTATGAATACTGTTAAACACTACTAGTTACTCATTTTAATCAATACAGAGATTATTGATCTGATTTGCTATCCTGAATTTTCCTGTGATCAACTTGAACTGTGATATAACAGTCTGTAAATTGAAACAATAACTCCAGAATTACTAATGCTCAATGAAAGATTGAATAACACAAACTGTGAATTAATTGCTTTCTTTTTAAGTCATAAATTCAGCTTTTGACATTATCATAGGATAAGTCTCTGAAGTTCTATTCAAAGGTCTGGAAAAGATCAGAGTGCCTAGACAGCTGTTACCACTTCAAATTGTATCATGTGAATTGAAAAATTTATCTTCTACACTTCGTTTCATGATTGCATGTGCAAGACAAAATAGTCTAAAATGTTGTCTAGTTAGTTTAGACAACAGCTATATTTCTTACTTTCCCCTGTCCCCAAAATTGATCTTAAGAATAATCCTTAAAGCATTACTTAAAGGAGAGAAGCTTAATTTAGGCAATCTTAACTCATAACAACAACACCAATTTAATCTCAGGGCTAATAGATTAGAGGACATTTTGCATTAATGAGAGCATTGAAATCAGATTTTTAGATTAACAGTAACAATTTTGCTGGTAACTTGTTCCTAATTCTTTCTTTTAGGGTAACTTGTATGAATTTCTGAAACTGACTGGTTGGCGAGGTTCCAAAGTCTTATATTTTGGTGATCATATTTACAGTGATCTAGCTGTAAGTAATTTGTTCCCCATGTTTCTTTTTTAAATGAAGCTGGTGTGATCCAGAAGAATGAGCTATGTATTATTAAATTAATTCAAGTAGACCAGGGCTGTCAAACACCCGGTCCGTGAGCCAGGTGTGTCACATGCTGGCCACGCCCATGACTGGTTTAGCAAAGGAGGGGAAAAGTCCCAATACATCATGTGACACTGCCATGACAACATGAGTTTGACACCCCTGAAGTAGACGGCTACTTTAAAAATAAGAAAGGGCAAAGGACCACATTTCTGCAATAAAAGTGGGTAAAGTCATGAGTAGGATTAGTCTGGTCTTCAGAAAAAAAACACAAGGCTCTTATTTTATTGCTATGTATATTTTTTGAATTTGTTTTATACAGCTTTCCGTAGCTGTTCCTTCCTAGTAGCAGTCATTCTGCAATAATAATTGAAATAGAACTCAGAGTTCCAAATTTATAACCTTCCCTGCACCTGCCGGTACAGATTATACCGTTTTTATATTGTTAAAATATAAATTCTGCAGTAAAAGAACCTTTCTAACTAACTTGTTACAAGAGAAAAAAATATCTCCCTGATTTACTTATTGCAAGTCCTGTTAATATTTTACAATTTTCTGATCTTAAACTCCTTTCTCGTAATTTACTCTCCCTTTTTCTTTTGACCAAACAATATCTGATCAGTTGTGCTTTATTTATTTACCTTAAGTCCATTTACCTGGTTTAGATTGGGTTTGTTTTACACTTTTAATTATTGCATGATGATATAACTAAGATGTATTTATGTAAAAGTATAGATATCTTCAGATGATATCTAACTTGAAAGAATAGAAAGTATGGTTTAAATGAAATTAACACAAATGCTTTTCTTTTCTTTTCTTTTGTGTGTGATCATGATTGGCAAAAAAGGATTTGACCTTAAAACACGGCTGGCGTACAGGAGCAATTATTCCAGAATTACGAAGAGAGATTAAGATCATGAATACAGAGCAATATATTCAGACTATGACTTGGCTGCAAACTCTCACTGGATTACTGGAACACATGCAGGTTTGTTCTTTACTTTTTTTCCATTCTTTTCATCCCCACCTCTTTTTTTTTCCATTGCTAATATTCCAAATAAAAATACACAATATAGAAGCCATCAGAATTGATGCATGTAAACTCTAGATGGAATAGAGAGGAGATTAAATTTTTATTTCCAGTTCTCTGCCCACTTAATAATTAGAGGGACCTTTTATCTATAATCTTTTTTTTGCCTTGGTAATGATAATGTAATTCAAATTATTATGTGAAATCATGGTGCTGGTATTAAAATGCAAACGTATATTTATATTGCTTTCACTGTATGATGGTGATATGGCTATTTTTTTTAAAAATAAAATAAAACTTGTCTTTGTGTTTCTTGTTCAATCTGTCCTGCCCATCTGTTATTTTTATAAATGTGTCCATATACAGTCTATTTTAAAACTCACAAATTTATATCATTTATATCATGTCATTTCAGATTCACAAGAATCCTGACTGCCAAATGATATTAAATGAATGGAAAAAAGAAAGAAAGGAAATGCGGTAAATATTAAAATTGAATACTTGTGTATAAGTTTATCCAAGCTGAACTCAATTTTTGGGGTTATTTTCAGGTTATCAGTGAGCATATATAGTACTTATTCTAAGTTTTAAAAAATTGATCTGATTAATTTGTAATACAATAAAACTAGACCTTACTTGCTTCATTTTCCTCATAACTTTGATAACAGTGTGACACTGGGCATTCCACAGCATAAACACACAATAAATCAAATGTGTATGTCTTCTGACTCTGTCTATCTCCATCTTACTTGTCATGTAGCTCATGTCAGCTTTGAAATTCAGCTGCCACATAATGGGGTGGTGGTGGAGGAGTTGAAAAGTTCAAGGTTATTCTGTATGTCGTACTAAGAAATTCCAGTTGCAGTTAATTGGTTCTCGTGATTTAGAAAGTGTAGAAGTGGGAGGAGAGAAGGTGGATTCTGTGTAACATCCCCGAAAATACTTTCACTTTGGGAAATTGTCTTAGACGTACCAGATCTGTTCCTAAATAAATCAACTGGAGAGAATATGTCTCAGAGTGATTGATATTATGGATACTTTCTGGATGCCTTACAGCTCATCTATCCCTATATGTGATTGGGCAAGGAGTATAGTTTTGTTTTCAGTTACATGATGCTTTCTTCGCTTGTGAGAAATTAATATATCACAGAGTAAGAAATGAAATTAAGCCAATCTAGGATAGGTCTAGATTTAAGTTTCCTATCCACCTTCATGGAATTCACTGAATTATTTTGGACCCCTCTGTTAGCCCAAACTTCAGAGGATGGTGGTTGTAGGGGAGAAATAAGGAGAGACCTCATGTATTATACATTGAATTCCCTATTGAGCAGCCTTTATTCAATGGACAGTTCTGATTTTGAGGCCTTACTGATAAAAGAACATATCTGTCCTAAACATGCTAAATGTCTCTGGTCCAAAAGAAGTATTTCATGGTATGTCTATGGAGATTTTCAGTCATCCAATTCATGGTTGTCCCAAAGATGCTGTTCTGACCCAGCTCCCCAAATATGGCAAACCCTCTGACGTGAACTCAAAAGATTCCTTTCTTAGGAATGCCGGCAGCCCTGGCAAAAAGTTTCGCTTGTAGGCTGACAAGTCTGTCCGTACAGAAGATGAATAGTGGTCTGCCACACCTATTCATCTCTGCTCCCCCGCCCTCCTTTTATCCCCAGAGCTAGGGTGAGGCCTCGCCAGCAGAGGTGGCTCTTCCTTCCCCAGGATTGGCTCATGGCTTTCCACTGCTCTCCTCTCCTCTGCCTTCTGCGCACCTGTGTGTCAGGCACTAGACCCCAGCTGTTCCTCCTCTTCATTATTAGTCACCTCCAGACCTGGAGCTGTTGTCTCTCCATCTGAGGGCTGACGGATGGCCCAGGCTCTGCCTCTCTCTCTCTCTCTCTCTCTCTTTTCCAGCTCCATTCCCTCCTCCCCCTCGGCGCTCCAAGATTGCCCAGACCCTGTCTCCCATGCCTCCTCCTCCTCCTCTGATTTGGCTGCTGGAGGGACTGGCGGCTGACAGGCTACAACAGATGCTTTTTCAAAAAGCAATTGGAATTTCGGGGGATTTCCGGTTTGTCGGCTTTGCGAGCGGCAGGGATTTGCGAAGCTGCGCGATCCCTGCCGCGCTAGCCGCTTTTGGGGCTCCGACCCAGACGGGTACGGAGCTAGGCTGCCCTGCAGGGGCAGCTGAAGGTAGGGGGGATCCGGAGAGGGGTTTGGGGGTGTTGCAGACCCCCTCCCCGACCGGTAGAACCCCCTTTTCCCAGGATGGTGCAGCGGCGGTCCATAATGGCCGCCACAAAGAAGCTGGCAGCCGGGTAAGAATGCGCAGGAGGAAGTGGAGAAAGTGCTTGAGAGGAGAAAGTTTTTCTTGGCTCCTAGGACTCTAAGACATATTTAATAAAATTCCTGAAAAGTATGACTTTCTGAATAATACCTGCCAGAAGAGGAAAAAAGCGGCAGTTTGATGGTGCTGAAAGGATAGCTTACCCTCTTTTCCTACGGAATAAATAACTGGATATTAAGAAACCTATTTTTTTTTAGGTGAAAAGTGGTTTTAAGCGATGAGTGGGAAGAGAGAGGATTAAAAAGAAAATATTTGTATGCTAAGACTTTGTTGGAGGAGATGCCTTAAGGATTTGAAGACTAGAATATATTGTAATAAGATTTTAAACAGAATTGGACTTTCTTTCTCTTTGATTGATATTACCCCAGAAGGAGAAAGTGAGAACTCTGCCTTGGTTTGGACTGACTGATAACTTTGGGACTGCTTTATTTTTTTTATTTTTTTCTTTGGAATATTCTGGTTGTTGTAAGAAGAAAGAAGGGGAAAAGAAAAGAAAAGATTTATAATGGCTTTTTCTGTTGAGGAACTGAGAAAAGAATATGAGCAAGCAAAAAAAAATGGTAAAGATGGTGTGGAAGAAGCTTTCCTTTTTTTAGAAATGGCGCTTACTAACTATCAACAAACATTACAACAGATGAAGACAGCAGAGGAACAAGAAAGAAAGGAAGAAGCCATCTTTAATGAATCTCAGAATTTGATCAAGAAAGAAGGAAGAGAGAAAAGAAGAGAACTAAAGGACTTAAGATCTAAAAAAACATTTAAGAAAGGGAAAAATAAGGTGCAAAATCAATATGATGATAGTAAACAAAAGGGAAAAGGAACACGACAGAGAAGGGAAGCCAGTAAGGCAGAGGCTAGAAGAAGGGGGGGTAGAAAGGTTTGTTGGGAGAAGAAAGAAAGGGAAAAGGTGGAGAAAAGCTACAATGTTTTGAAATTAAATGGAAATAAGGAATTTTTTTTTAGGGATAATGGATAAAGTATAATTTCTTCAAAAAGATTTTGCAAGGTACATAAGATGAGATGGTAGTATTGTAATGGTTTAAGAGTTGATAAGAGATTAAAATGTTAAAATGTTTAATAATGGTTTTAAAATTTAATAATAAGGGAGGTTTAGAATACTGTTTTAATTAAAGAGTTTAATAAGATTATGGTATTGATGTTATTATAAAATTTTTATTATAGTATTTGTTTTTAATATCTGGATTTATTGTCTAATTATGTATTTAATTATTCTGGATGTACTAGTTAGATAGAATGTACCAAGCAAAATCGGATTGGGTATTGGATGTTATTTTAAAGGTTAATTTGATTAATTTAGGGGGGAGATAGAAAGGCATCATACTCTGATTAATGATTTCAGGAGAAACTTCTTTTCTTCTTTTTTATAAGGAATGAGACAAAGGGATGATAAAGAATGGACAAAAGATACAAATATAATGATTCAAACTAAGATGATTAATTAAGATAGAATTAAGAAGAGTGAAATATGTGGAGAAGTTAATATAGAAAGCTTAGAATGGTAAATAAAATAAGTAATGATATGTAAGATGAGCATGAATATAATTGAAGTCCATGAAGAGAGAGATACCTGGGTCCAAGTTACTTTCCAAAAAGATTTTTTTTATGTTTTGTGTGTTGTGTGTATATGTTTTTTTGGGGGGGAGAATTAGTAAAAACTTGCAGAAATATAGAATGAGAATAATGGTAACTAAGTCAGAAAGAAATAGATGAAATAATAATAATGATATTGAATAAGAGTAAAGAGAAGTAAAGAGAAATTGAATAAGAGGTTTTTGTATGTTATATGGAAATGGTTTAAAACAGAATCATAATTTATCTGACTTGTTAAATTTACAATGAAAAAAGGTTTAAACATGTAATGAATAATGATGATTTGTGTGTTTTAAAAATTAATAAAACTTGTTTAAAAAAAAAAAAAAGCAATTGGAATTTCTTGGTATTTTTCCTCAAAAACATTTACTGAAGAAACTTCTTGGATGAGAAATGAAACATTTTCAAGGAAAACCCGCAAGAAAGTCCAGTTGCCTTTTGAATAAGCAACTTTGGTTTTTTTTAATAGCATGTAATACACTGACTATTTTAAATGTTTTTTTTTTTTTCCTTTTCTTCTCTCGTCAGAGAAATGACCAGGAATTTCTTCAACTCTCAGTTTGGAAGCTTATTCAGGACTGACCAAAACCCCACCTATTTCTTAAGGCGTTTGTCTCGTTTTGCTGATATCTACATGGCATCATTGAGTTGCCTGTTGAACTATGACCATGATTACACATTCTATCCACGAAGGACTCCTTTGCAGCATGAACTTCCAATATGGTCTGACCAGTTGTGCACGGGTACATTCAGAATACCATTTCTCCAGGAGATGGTTCAGATCAAATAACCTCCCCACGTCCCAGTTTTTTTTTGTAATGTAATGGTGACCATATTACTACGCAGTGGCTTTTTAAAGAATATTTATTGTAAGAGCAATTTTCTCTGTAGTGACTGGTTCTTGTTGTACATGCTATGGAGCAAATGTGTCTATCCAGCTGCTCTCTTATTTTTTTCTAGTGAGAATGGATAAAAACTATGGCATTAGTTGCATTAAGAACTAACTGATTCTTTCCTCCAGTTGAATATTTACTGGAATGGAAAATTACTTGCACATAAATTTACATATAGCCCATAATATTTGTCTTATATACTCTAACCAAAGGTCATTACTTGAAATTTGGGCTTGATTTAAATATTTATTCAGCTAAAAGCACAGCAACTATTATACTTTATAAGGAATGTAAAATCTCATCAAGATTTCAAATCCATGCAGGGCTGGGTATCTGTTATTTTTTTAATCAGAATATTAGAAAGTAATTTTTAGTGGATGAGAGATTTAACTCCATAGAACACTCAGTCATTTTTTCCCCACAGACTTGTATTTTCCTTAGGCAGCCAGAAAAAGCTGTAATTAGAACACAATATTGCATTGCTTGCATTGAACCAATCAAAGTTTTCATTATAGAGATTTCCAGCCAATTGAAATTGACAGGACAGTTAGTAAAATTGGCAGTAGAAACACTACAATAGCACAAGTGTAGAAACAGAATAATACATCTACTAAAGTGTGTTCAATGTGAACATTTTTATAATATAACAGCTCTGTACAAAGAATTAATAGTGGATACTATAGAGTAAAGCCTTATAGCATTGGGCACTTTAGGAGAATGTCATCATGTACTTTAAGAACTATATTTTATATATTGAGACTGCAGTCCTGTGCTTACTTTCCTAGGAGTAACTCATTGAACGCAATAATATTTTAGTAACGTATAATAGTATTATTGGCTTGTGTTCATGGTAAGAGTGAAACAGTTACGATTTTTTTTAAAAAAGGTGACGTTTTTCTCTCTTTAAAATTCTTATTCCCATGCGCTTAAAAATCACATACCCTAAATTTTAAGTCAGTTCCCACTGCTCTTAACAGGACTAAAACTTGTATTTATTTTATTCACTTCTTGAGTTCAGCAGTCAAACAAATTATTTATTAGGTTAAAATCATAAATACCAACACTATTTCTAGGCTGATAATAAAACGGCAATATAGCAAGAGCTTTGAACTAATAGTCCCCCTCCTAGTAAGCTATTTCAACTAATGGAACAACACAACTTTTTCTATAACTTATTGATAGCCCATAAAAAACTACATGATAGTTGATAAATGATATACCAGGTTAAATCCAGTGATTACTGGTTACTCAAGAAATTATTCAAGCTTAAAACTCTTTAATTTGCAATTCTGGTTGTTTCTAATTGAGCCAGAAATGTCTAAAACGCTTAAAGCAGTAGAATGCAATTTTCATGGGCATTGCAGTCCATCTATTTTGAAAATCTCAAAACTTTCCTTTAAAATATATATTAAAACTTCATGTATTTTATGAAGATATTCAAAATACAACCAGAATGTATTCTACATTTATTTTAGGAAATAATTTGGCTCCTCAAATGCTATTCACATAAATATGTGTTTCAGGTTTGTAAAAGCATTTCTATGTAGAAATTTGCAACTACGTATACTTTAAAAAATTTTTGATGTGTAACTTAAGAGCAGTAGCTGGCATTATTCCATTCTGGTTCCAAATACATGCCTTGAAACAGATTTTCAAGAAGTCTGAGTGTATTTTCCTTATTTCACCTTTGCTTTCAGAGCTTAAACCCCTAAACAAATAACCCTTAAAAAGAAAAACTGGTCTTATTGCATTTTTACTACTATACCAGTTCTTGTAACCCATGTATTGAGTGATCATGTCTTGAGGGTCTGCTGTATTAAGTGAGATGTACAGGAGGTTATGAAAGATGAATAAGTTCTCATTTATGCAAAGATTCATGTTGCTCCACAGGCTTTTCATAGAGATTCAACAATCCAAGCCATACTTCTCCCCAAAGCTCCATTTTGAATGGAAGATTTTCATAGATTATCCCCACCTTTTTGATACCTTTTGTAAAATTCCCCGATCATGTTATTTATTGAGGGACTTGAACTGACCATACAGTGCTGTTGCAGTGTTACACAATGTAGACATAGAAAGATATTGATGCAGAATGGATGGTTTTGATTAACTGAAGGGAAGAATAATACCTAACTGAATCATACCTACCAAAATAATTTACCTTCATATCTTGTTGCCTCATTGTTTTAACTAACAATAGAACATTAAGTGGAAAACCCAAAGGACAGAATTAGGCACAAACTAATAGCTCATAGCTTGACATTATTTGAACGGTATGTTTCAGTCCTCCTAGATCTTCTGAATGATATTTGTTCACAATATTAAAAAGTCAAATTAGCACAGATTCTGAAAATTAGGCATAACGTGAAATCTTCTGAAGCTTACTGTAGCTGTTTGTGTATTAATGTATGCTATCAAGTCCCGTGAACCTAGTAATTGTGAGCATTCTTGCTCAACGTTAAACATTTTGAGATCTGCTTTAAAGAAAGGTTCTTTTACTGCAGAATAAAATTTTATTTCTTTGTGTAAAGTACTAATTGCTGCTACAGGATTTTAAACATGATAAATATTGTAAAAAATATGCATGTGGAGAGCCTTGGCATATACAGCTTTAAGATAATGTTATGTTTTGTGTCCTTATTCTGATGTAATTTTGAAATTTTAAAGCACACTTAAATTCTAAAACTTCTCATTTGCAATTACTTTGCTTGTTGTAGACTTTCCTCAGTATGCTCCACCTGAATACCAAAAGTGAGACAAGTTCATTTGTCAACAGTTTGAAGCCAACAAGGAAAACATCTGATTCTTAAGCTGAAACTTGTTATTGGAAAAATATTTTCATACATACAAAAAAACCTTTCTAATAATACAGCATTGTTAACTTACAAACTAAGAAATATTTTACTACAGGCATTTATTGTAATTAGGGTGGAAGTCAGTGTAAGGTTTTAAGGAAGAAAGCTGGTGGGTGGCAGGGGAGGGGAAAGGCCTCTTCAGTTAAAACATTCATTATGTACTTGAAGGGAATATGTAGGGAATTTGTAAATTGAATTTATAGCTGATGGTTTTGATAATTAGTGTCTATTTCAATAAAGTACCAAAAATAAATATGAGTGAGTTCTACAAACATTAGTAAAAAAAAATTCTACAAGTAGAGTGGATGCAAACATGTTTCTTTAAATTGCTGCTTTGAAGGATGACTTGATATGAACACTTAGTACATGTTTTAATTTCTCTAATCAATGTTGCTAATGTAGTAAAATAAGATGTTAATGTAAGTATGATGGATGGGACACTTCTCAAAGCTTATACCAAAAGACTTTGAAGTAATGTTGGGAAAAGAAACAATTCTCTTTGGTAGCACAATACGTTAATTTTGTTTAATATCTGGTAAAATGTTCTTTAAAAATGGTTAAAAGAATTTGAGTTTTGGATTCATTAAAAGTATATAAAGTGCTTCTACACATACAGTGTATTATTCATCAAGATGAACATTAGAATAAGTAGATAAATTTGTCTGCCTTGGTATAATGTTTTTAAAAGTGTGAGAATGGAGTGATGTTTAGTAGTACTAACAAATATATAATTACTAATCTGTGACTTACTGCAAGAAATTAATATTCATTAGAAGCAGCCATAATGGTAGTGTCTATGCACATGTTTCTGTTCATTTTGTTATATTGAACTGAGAATTTTCTTATGGCAGGAAAAAACAAAGGTTATATTTGTGTGGTAAAACTAGAAGAGATAGTCAAAAATGAAGTTGAAAAATGAAGAATAAATATAAAATGAGTATATTGAGGTGGCTTATAAATGAGAATCAATTGCAAACAAGATGACATGAGCCTCTTTTTATCCTCATGGGTGTGATGGAAGCAAGGATGATTTGCATAGCTGTATAGATGTATGTAGAAATGTGAAAATCCATTCTACTCAAATCTCTCATAAAAATCTTACGATTAAGATTGTACTATTATAAAATATAGCCTTTAATACTTTCAGAGCAGCTTTTACAACCTTGGTACTATTCATTTGTGTTACAAACACAAATTACAAATGTGGTTTCAAAAAACCCCTGGAAATTGCTATCTGCTTGTAAATCATTTAAAAACATTTAGATTTTTTTTAAAAGAATACCATTCCTTTAATGACAAGTTCGTAGCAACCCAAACAGCATAGCTATACTCCAATTTTTTACAAAATGAAATGCTAGTTTGTAACATTAATTACTTCTGGAATACATGGAAGAGAACAAATATGAAAACAGTGCTATTAGGATCTGCATAACTAAAATGACAGAATTACTTCCTAAAGAAATGAAACATTTAGTTTTCTTAGGAATTTTCTTAGGAATTGTTCTTCAATGGCCTATCTTGAACCACATGTGTTGCCTTGTATCTTCATTATCCAGTAGGAAAACTTTATCAGGTGAAGAAGAAATAGTTGTTAGAAATCATTGTGGGAATCACTGCTCACCAACTGTTGCTCATCAGAAACCTGTTTTTTAAAAAGGTTATAATCAATATTTATGAATAATGTTCTAAATATTTGTTGGCAAAGTTGTTGGCAATATATTACAAATGAAAGGAGTTACTTTCACTCTAAAATTATCTTAATTAGTACTTTCAAAGACCTGATAAAGCTCATGTCCATGGAGCCATTGCTGAGAAATTCTTATTTCTAGTAGTCTGAAGACCAGGGTGATTTGAAAGCCATTATTCAGACAGCAAACATTATTGAACAGAAAACACTACTAAGACATTGAAGTGTCTTCTGTTAATAATAAAACAGCTGTGAAGTTGGCTCTGGTCTGGATATAGAGTTGATAGCATTATATTTAGCATTTCAGGTTGCAAGGTTGCAGATGATGTATTTCAGATGCAGACTCAGAGAGAGGATGATTGGGTTAAAACATTGCACCAAATACAATGTGAGGGTGTTTTGTTTTGATCCTAAAACAAGTTATTTTGACTTGATTACCCTGTTTTGACCTACCCTGCCTGAGAAGTGCAGAGGTGCAGCTGGTAATTCTGTGAAATTGCCTTCCAGAAACTTAAGGTAATCTTGAGCCAATCCTAAAAAGTAGAGTCCTACCCAGCCAAAGTGCTGCTGTATTGTAGGGAAAGCTGCATTGCCCATTTGTGTTGTTTGAATCCAGTGACTACAATCTATTGATGGATTTTCTATTGAAATACATATATTGTGAGCTAAATGGCAGAGATAGGTGCTTAAGATTAGCTTTGATGTTGTCACATATAGAGTGGTGTGTATCATTATTTGGTGTGTACCATCTTATGGCCCCAATGCATGCTAATTCAAAGGGGATAACAAAAAGGAATAAAATACAAAAATAAACTTATATTATGTGCTGATAGTTTTGTTACTAAAAGAAGATAAAACCATGTGGTCAGTTAAGTAGAAGCCACAACATTTTGTTTTATAATCCAAATTCTGGCTTCTGACATATCCTACCCCATCAGAATAAAAACTTACCAAAAATGGATCATAAGGAGGATCTAGTGGAGGAGCTGATGAGCTTTCATAATTGGGGTTTGAGATGTTGACTGATGGTGCTTTGTCCAATGTAGTTACATCGATATCATCTTTTTCCTATGTGATATTTTTAAAAGAATAGTTTGTCAGATTCATTACAAAAAAACCCCAGTTTGTTGAAGTCCT